GTGTATGTTTCTCGCATATTTAAAATTTTGAATAACGTAGTCCTCCCCTCGAATATGGGCATCTGGAAGCCCAGATTTGGAATTTGTTTTATTATCTATTTCAGAGTTTCTTAAAGTGGGGATCACGACACCCAGGACCTGCAGAGGCAGACGCCAAAATTTTTAACAGTTTTGATATTTCTTTAACTTATTATAATAATCTTACACAATGTATCTGAAAATAGATAAAGATACGACAATACAGACAAAGAAAAAAACTAAAATATTTCAACTCATTCTTTTTATAATAAAAATGTTCATTTTACTTGCTTTGCACATGACACTGTCATTTCATCTGTTACTTATTTAAAATTTTCACATTGTTCTATGTCTTAAAATTAGAAGTTAAAGTTAATGACTTAAAACTGCAATAGTATATTACAGTACAAGTGAAAAAATTGACAGTTTCACTCGCACATCTGTCAGATTTGTGCAATGCTTATGGGGTCGTGAAAAACATCTCAGTGTTAAAAAGGGGTCGTGACTGAAAAAAGCTTAAGAAGCCCTGATCTCTTTCATATTTTGTAAAACTTTAACAAATTTTTGATTAACAAACTTTGCAATTTCAAAGCGAGCAATGGCAACACAGCACGGGGGAAAAAAAATTTCTATCTCCAGTGCGCGAAACTGTATTATCAGAAATTCTAAAGATATGCTCTTTTTAAATATTTTGTGATATTGCTGTTGAATTGAATTTTATGGTTTAAGTGCAAAGAATATGATATTTGATAAATAAACGTAAGATACAAAACAATAAAAAGAATATCCCTTTTGGCTGTAATATAAAATCTGAAAGCTTTCAAATTTTACTTTTTATTGTTATTTTTTTAATAATTTTAGTTAAGAGTTGCTTTTTAACAGATTTGCATTACTTAACATTTTTTTAATAGAATTGCTACATTTTAAATTTTAACACACCATAAAATATACAAATGGAGTTAATTGATATGTAATGTGATATAAGTATTCAAATATTTGATAAACTTTGTTTCGTACTTGTCAAAAAGTTAATACATTCACTTATGAACTTTTGCATTAAAAATAATCGGTGTCTTTAGGAAAACATTTATATGTGAACAGCATTTTTTCACAGTTGAAAATTAATGAGTAAAAAACTTACTTGACTGATGAGATTCTACAATGCATGATAAAGATTTCTACTAATTTCTCCTTAAGGCTACAAACTTTATCAGAATTGAAATGCCATCAAGTGCATTTTATAGTAAGAAATATAGAAATTTATAATTATTTACAAATAAATATTTTCATTTTTTTATACATTGAAGAAAAATTTAATAAAAGAAAGAGATTAGATTATTAATATTTATTCTCAAGTTCTGTCCCATTTTTCAAGCTGTTTCCATTAAATAATGAGTTCAGTTTTCTTGTATATATCGGTGGTCTCAAACTCAAATTGCATGTCACCAAGTGCACCATCTGAAAACAGCTGTTGTGAAAATATTTTTAATTTTTTTTTTATTTTAACGGACTAAATATTTATGAAAACATACTTCAATAACAATAATAATAATATAACAAAGGAAAAAATTAAAATGTATATTTATTTTCTCTCTGGGATCTAAAATTTGTTATCTGTAAGATATTTTTGTTGGTTACATTTTGTAATTCATATGTATTAATGGCTGAATATTAAATTCTTAGACTGACATTTCTTTCAAATAGCTATAGCATGTTAACCCTCCAAGGTTTATGGACATGATATTCCGTATTGAAGAATATCATTTTTACTCGTTAGGTATGAAAATATCTGCCATATCCTGATATATCTGATTTCACACTGGATGTATATCAGAAGAACAGGAGTTGAGGTACAAAATGAAAGGATGATTTTAGAATCATAATCTGAAAAATTCCACTTATTCATGGCATTTTGGGGAACTTTGAATCTTCAGAGTAATAACGTAATGCTCAGAGGGTTAAGTAATCATTAAAAAACTTTAGTTTTAAATAAAAATAAACAAGTTATGAACATCTGCTAAGTTTTCAGAGAAACTTAAAATTAATTAAATTAAATGGGACAAAACTTGAGAATAAATATTAACAATCTAATCTCTTTCCCTTATTTATTCAATTTTTCTTCGATGCATAAATAAAAATGCAAATGTTTGTAAATAATTATGAATTTCTTTATTTCTTACTATAACAGCTTGATAGCATTACAATTCTGATAATGTTTGTAGCCTTAAGGAGAAATTAGTATAAATCTTCATCATGGATTGTTGATGCTCATCAGTAAGTCGGTTTTTTACTTGTTAATTCTCAACTGTGAAAATATGCTGTCCACATATAAATGTTTTTCTTAACACGCAATTATTCGTAATGCAAAAGTTATTAACTTTTTGACAAGCACAAAAAAATGTTTATCAAATATTTGAATAATATTTATATCACATTACAAATTAATTAATTCCATTTGTATATTTTGTGGTGTGTTATTCATGTTCCTTTTTAATGAAAATGAAAATAACATAAACTTGTACTTCAAATAATTCAAATCTTGAAATCTTTGCAGTAATGGATTTTCAACAAATATATAATAAAAATGTCTTCACAGGCTGCCTAAAATTGCTTCAGGCTGGCAGTTTGGTACCACTAATATGAGGGTCAAAGTGAAATTTTTTAGATACCCACAAGTTTTTAAAGTTGCTCTTAGAAAATTTTAGGAGTGTTCAAAGTAGTCTCTTCCAGCATCAGTGCACTTGTGTAGGAGAATTTTCCAAAGATTAAGTGTGTCACACCATTCATTGTGGTTACTATCTTCGAGTAATTTAAGGGTTTCTTGCTGCTTCTGACATCTCCTCTTTTTGGTGCTCAGTTGAATTATGGGGAAGCCAAAGGAAAACTTTTTTTTTTTTTTTTTTTAAATATGCAAGTCTTCATGAATAATTTTATGTATAGTGGCGGATCTGTATTATTTGCTAGTGGTGTAGCAGCAGATCTGTATCATTTGGTAGTAGTGTAGCAGCAGATATGTATCATTTGGTAGCAGAGTAGCGGCAGATCTGTATCATTTGGTAGCGGTGGATTTGTATCATTTGGTAGGTGTTCATTTTCTGTATGGCAGATGCATTAACTGGGATTACTTCTGACAACAACCTTTGTCTGTGTTCTTCATCCATAACCTCTGGGAAATTCTGTAAACCATATGAATATAGTAGTACAAGATGGACCTTTGTTTCCAAAATGCGAACTGTAGACGTTGAATGCATTCTTCTTGTTTAAAATCATACCACGTTAATGTTCTCACGTCAACTCCATTTTTCCTTCTGCCTATTCTTTTTGCTAACTAAACACTATGCTAAACTACTTGCAATTGGCCAATAAAAAATCGCATATTAGGCTAAAATAGCGTATATTTTCAAATCTAACCATTATTATTTTTTTTTTTTTCCTGTCACTTATCTGCACATACATCAAAAATTTCAGAATAACTTTCATATATATGATTGATCATACTTCTGTAAATTCTTGTGACAGGAGAATTGAAGAAAGTGTTAAATTTTTAATTCTGTTAACGTTTCTTAATGTTATTTGGCAACATAACTTTTACCTTGCACTGTTTGGCAACACTGTTACATTTTATTGTAACTTAGGGTGTATTCCTGTGGTGTGTGTATCCAATAGTGAATTGTTACTGTATTCCTTTTAAGCTGTGGTAAATATATTTAACCATTCCTAATAGAATAGATTTCCTGTAATGCTGAGATGGCCACTTGCCACAAAATTAAATTTATATAATGCTTTGTGCTAATGCAAAAATTTAAATTTTGAAAAGAAATTATTTGTAACTTCTAAATTGTGTTTAAATTATCTTTTGTATTATATTTGCAAGCTCTGATATAAATCTAGTTTTTAAAATAATGAATTTAGAAAAGTATTGTTGGCATTGTTAGACTTGGGTTTAATAACTGTTCTTTATTTAGGAAATCAAAATGGTTAAGTTGATTTCTCACAAAACTGATTATTTTCTGTCCTTCCTACATAATATGCCAAAGAACAGAAGAGCCCTCTCCTGACATCTTATTTTATTCTTTTTCATTTGTTTTTATTGTGCAAAAGACAATTATAAAAGCTTCTTTTTGTGTAATATATGTCTTATAAGCAGAAGACTTAATAAAATAGTGAGGAAAGTAACAATAGTTTCTTACTCCCCTAGACTGGTTTTATTGCGTACAACTGAGGGGAAGGTTTAAGATTTAGAATTCCTTACTATTGGTATCTTTTCGATTTGGGGAGCAGATTAGGAAGAGGTCCTTAGGCTCTGTATGGTCATTTACTTGCAGTTTTGGCCATCATTGCATTATTTACATAGATCAACTATAGCAAGCTAATATCTGATTCCTCCTTTGTCCTTAATTCTGTCCCAGAGTACTAGAGAGTGTACTCCGTAATGAAATTTAACATTACCAGAGATGGTTATAAAAGCTGATAAGTGAACCACTAAAGAGGACATGATTAAATCAGATTTGTTTAAAAGCTAGTTAGCAAATCTAAATAACAGCAGTGTTTATGAATGCACATATAAAACATAGAGTAATAAAAGTGCTTCGGATTTCTTCATCCTTTTATATTGTTAAATGAATATACATTTCAGGAATATAAAATTCAATTTAGCTGTAAGTTTTTTATTAATCTAATTAGCTTAATTTTAATTCTTTGAGTTTCTTTTAAAATTTTATTACTAATTATATTTTTTTTAAAGTGTATAAAACTGGTTTCTTTAGTATGCATTTTGTCATTTTACATTGCAAAACGCATTTAAACAATTTTATATAGTAGTAATAAATTATTTAATTATTTCTGTTCAGAATAATTGTTTATGATTTATCAATAATTATTCTGTAGTTGATTTTAGACTGTGAGTTGTGTAATTTCAAAATTGAGTGTTAAAAATGTTCATTGTTATGACTTAATATTTATCATCTAAAATATTTTTATAGGTTTATCTCCCAGATATGGAATTCCTTGTAAACTTAGGTGACTGGCCACTTGAACAAAGATCAGTTAATGAAAATCCTATACCTATCTTGTCATGGTGTGGCTCGGAATCTACAAAAGATATTGTAATGCCTACCTATGATATAACAGAAGCTACTCTAGAAATGATGGGCAGGTATTAAGCACAGCTTATTAGGCATTTTATTTTATTATTTTTAATTAATATATAATTGATATTATATTTATAGACATTATGAATATTTCTAATAAATAATCAATTCATAATTTTAAGATTTCCAATGAAAAAAATATTATTGATTGAATTTATTATGTGGATTAAAAAATCATTTGAATTTATTTTTTTAGCAGATATGTTTATTGTAATTCATTCAGATTTTTTTTGACTTTATATTAGTAAAGTTTTCTACTTTATGATTGAATATTAAATAAATATATTAGAAATTGTCATTAAAAAATTAAAGTTCTCTATACTCTTCCATTGGTTCTGAGGATTCTCCTGGAGATTTTTAAACTCTGCATTACCCCCCCCCCATTTGGTGACTGGACAGCTGAAATCAGAGAGTTATTAGCTGGAGATCTTGTAAATACTTCCTGTACTGTTATGTGCTACTATATTTGTTTGTGTAATCATTGTAGATGATTACACTATATATATATATATATTTCTTGATCTGTTTATTTCTCCTCAGAGTTGAAAACATAGTGGATTGTATAACATTATTTCAATGAACATGCAAGAATCAAATTAACTGGAATTGCTATGCAAATATAAAATTACATATGATATGTTATTGTCGGTAGTATCCATGACTGTAAATGCTTAAACATGAAACTTATAGTGGAATCATCTGCTAGTTTCAGAAGAAAATGAACTTACTGCATACCATGAGCAAATGCAGTATGTATGTACAATGTAAACTTTAACCTTGTTAAGTAGTACGGGGGGGAGGGGGGGAATTCATCAACTTCTCACTGCTCAACAGAATGTGAAAAGGTTCAACAGAATTGAAAATGATGTGTCTTAATGGTGTAAGATACTTATAAATAGAAAGAGGATTCCAAGACTTCAACAGTTTACAACTGCATAGGTCTAAATTTTGGTTGTGTTGAATTTCAGGAAAATGGGTGTACAGCTGTTACTATATTCTTTGAGCAAACATAAAATTCCAAATGTATTTTTCATTGGAGCATCATAGGCATTCTGCTTAGGTAGGTAATGCTTTTATGGCGATAAATGGGGAGTCATGGTATTTCCATTACAAATCTAGAAATGAGCATTCTAATTCAATAATGTAGTGAAAACACTCCCTCCTTTACTTTTTACCTTCAGTTAAGAGTCTGCAAATATTAACAAAGATGGATGGGTAGTTCTGTACTAACACAACCAGTTTGGTGCAATTTAATGATTTCTTACAGATGAAATATGAAAGTTACTTATTAAGTGCAAATTGTCAATTTTCATGAATTCTAAAAAAAGTCGCAAACTATCAATATGTATTGTAAACTGGTAAACATCATCAATACATCAAAAGAAAATGCATTTTTAAGAGATAAATTATAATTATTAAATAAGGATTATATTATATATTGACATTTTATAAAATATTTCTTTAATATTTTTCTGCTGTGTTTCTTCCCTAGTACACAGTGATATATTTTGCTTGAGAGATCAGAAAATTATACAAGTTTGACATTGTGTAGTGGCTGTATAACAAATGCATCTCATTATTATTTTAATCTCACAATTATCTCTCAATTTTGCAGCAAAATGTTGTATGCTTGCAGAAATTTTTTTTCATTACTTGCAAATTACACAAATACATATTTTAAAATTGAGTTTAAGGTAATAAATGCCATGATTTATCTATAAAAACTTCAAGTCTATCAGTAACCTTTTTTTGTGTTATTCTTCTACAGTAATCTGTTTTTGCTTTAAAAAAAATTGGAGAATTGCAAAAATTTGGCATCACTCAAATCTCGACAGCACTGGCTATTTACAAAATGTATCTGCTTGTTGTTCTGTATAGTATTTTGTGGCAAAATTCTGTATTCCTGCAGAAATTTTGTTGGGGTTTCTTTTATTTCTGGTAAATCTTATAAGCATGTATTTTAAAATTATGTTTAAAGCAAAAAGTAGCATAATTTGTGTGTAAGAGATTTTGAAACTTGGAATACAACTAAATGAATACATAAAAAAATGGCATCATTGCTTAACTGAAGGGAAGGAATGATTATGCACATGGTTCCCAGAGTATGGCACATTCTGAAAATTGACAACTTCTAATACTAAGGTGGTTGCAATAACAAGTAAGACCCAGTTCTGATTTGTCACTGGGCAGTTTTCATTTTTATAGAGAACTGAAGAAAGTGCTCCTATGTTCTTTGAACAAGGTATAACAGGATAATGGTGCAGATAGAATAACCTGCTATCAAAAATAAAATGTCATTTTTGACTATTTTTTGTATTAGTCCGACATTGTGTTTTAATGTGAGTATGAATTCTTTTGAATTTTTATGACAGTGATATAGAATTTATTGGAATATTTAATTCATGACTATATCATGTTATTCATTTCAACAAAAAGAATGAAAAAATTTTAAATTGAACATGTGACTGTGTGAAGTGCCTGAAAACATAAAAAAAGTAATGTAAGCAGTTTGTTGTGTACATTAGGTTTTATCCATTTATAAATTGAACATGTGACTGTATGAAGTGCCTGAAAACATAAAAAAAGTAATGTAAGCAGTTTGTTGTGTACATTAGATTTTAACCATTCATAGAAAATCCTAAGCGTTTTTCAAAGTAAGCTGCACAAATGTTCTAATAACTTTTCACAACTATGCTAACCAGTAAGTATGTTTTTATTTAATATGTCAAATGCATCTTCAGTTTGGAATGGAATAAAGAGTTTATAAATGAGAAGAATAAACTTAAATGTGAGTAAACAGGTTGATATTGAGCAGGAAGAACAGTGGAAGCAATTTTATATGAAAAAAATGTTATTCATGCCTGTTATATATTACTTTTCTTTTTCATGTAATTCATTGAAATGAATAATTTATAGCTTTAAAAAGTTGGATTGATTAACATTTTCTTAAGATCTAATTTCAAGTAATTAAAGCAATCATTTGTTGGGGCTGATAGGCATTATTTATTAGGATACATAGGAACATTATAGCCCCTATGTATTCTAATAAATAATGCCAGCTATTAATTTTTATGGATAAAGATGAAAAAATTCCAAATAAATAAGAAAGTCAAAAGAACTGTTCATTTTTAATAAATCATTATGAAGATTTTTCTGCATTTTTTTCTTCAGATATAAAGTAGCATTAGCAGTTCATTGTTAATCAGTCATTGTATGATGAGTCATTGTTATAATTATACATCTCCATGTTTAAAACTGTAAAATTCGTGTTATTACTTTTCAGGGTTATGGTGGATATCCTTTCTGTCATGGGTAATTCTGGACCACCATGGGAAGAGAAAATTAAAGTAGCTTTCTGGAGAGGTCGTGATAGTCGACAAGAGAGATTAGACCTTATAAAAATTTCACGCCAAAATCCTGAACTAATAAATGCTTCTCTGACAAATTTTTTCTTCTATCGTAAAGAAGAAGCTGAATATGGGCCAAAAGCAGAATACATATCATTTTTCGATTTTTTCAAGGTAAATCATGTTTTTAAATAATTCCAATGTAATTTTTCTGATCATATTTAACAGATGAACTAAGTCCTAATTTGCTTTGTTTATTAAAAAAAATGTATATAAAATTCCAGTTTATTGATAATCCTTTTAATTGTAACAATATAAACTCTTTTGTTTTCTTTAATATATGTAATGATTTAACTGTAGGTAACTTGATTTTAGAACATACTTGAAACTCTGAAGGTTTTCAGATATAAGAAAAGCAAATGGAATTTGTGAATAAATGTAGATAAGTAATATATGAAGATGATATGTTTTTCTTTCTAATGACATTGCCTGAATCATCAGTCCTCTAATGCACAACAAAATCTATAGAAGGTTCTAAATTCAGAAGGCCTGAATCATCAGCCAGCTAATGCATAACAAATTCTATAGTATGGTTCTAAATCCAGAAGATATCACTACTGATAGTGAAGAAAGTGACGGAGAGGTTGTTGAGAACAAGAAACTTTAATTGAGAATTTTTTCAGGTTCAATTTTAATAAAATAGAATTCTCCTTTTATAAAACAGAATTCTTTTTTTTTTAAGGTTTTTCTAATTATTCTAATTAGAAATTATTTTGTTTTTTCCTTGCTTTGGGGAAGGGCCAGAATTTTCGGGCGAACTATTATGATTAAAATAGTTCATCAGCTAATTCTGGATACAGAAAAGCAGTAACTTTTGTAGAAGAGAGAATTAAATTGATTTCAATGTTCCTTCACCCTGATAAAGTAGCATTGAAGTTGATTGAATTCCTCTTCTGTTTTTGTTCATTTTTCTTTAAATTTCATTAATTTTTTGAAATGGAGTTTTTCTTGTTTAAAGTGTTTCGGTTTTAACATTTTTAAATTCTTTGTTGCATTTATTTGAAATTTATTAATTATGAATTTCAATTTTTGGTCTTTGTGAAATATTTGTTCTAAATTTCTTACTTTATGTCTTTATATATATATATATATATATATATATATATATATATATATAATTTATCAAGCAAAGCAGCAGTAATAACAATTTTGGTCAAGAAAACATCTTGCGCAATATGCTGCAAAATAAGTAAAAAATAAAAATTGTAGAAAGCTCGCCTAAAAGTTACCAAGAGCTGCTGCTCCAAAAGGTTAAAGACTATATATATATATTGGGTTGTTCGGAAAGTAATTTTGGGTTTTATATATATATATATGAAATTGAAAGAAGATTTTCTTATAGTGAATAAGTATATTATTTAATTATATATTGTCCATTTGGGTCCAATACCTTTTGCCGTCTTTCTGGCAGTAGCATGATTCCACTCTCATTAAAAAAAAAAAAAAAAAAAAATTCTTTGCCGGCAAAAAACTGATCCAGGTGATTTTTGACCTCATCATTTGAAGTAAAAGTTTTATCTTCTAAAACATTGTGTAGAAACCAGAAAAATAATAATCGGGATGTGCCAGATCTGGAGAATATGATGGGTGGGTGTGGCAGTATATCCCATCCAAGCTGTAAAAGCTTTTGGCGAGTTACCAAATTGTATGAAGTCTTGCATTATCTTGGTGGAACACTAGACATTTTCTTTTGATCAGTTATGGCCTTTTCTGTTTAAGTGAATTATTCATTTTGTTCAGAACAAGACTACACTTCAGAATTGATCGTTGTGTTGTCTGGTAAAAGCTAAAAAAAAAATTATTCCTTTAAAATCCCGTCAAACAGATAGCATCACCCTTTTTGACGAATATCTGCTGTTGAAGAGCTTTGAGCCGGTTCATCTTTTTTACTCCGTGATACCTTACGTTTAACCCCTTCGCGGCGACTGTCACATCTACGTGCGAGCAACGAACACACTCACTTCCCGGCCGACACGCAGGCGTGCCAGAGCGTTTTCCCGTTCAGCCCCGACTGATTTGTGCCAGTGTCCTGGAACGTTTTAAAAACTATAATTTCTGCCACAAGATTGCACTGTATATCCATATGGTTTCAGATACATGTACATTAGACCTTCTACTCAAAATGAGAGAAGCATGACTCACATACATGTGTTTTTGATTATATAAACAAAAGGGGAAATAAATCTTTCCGAATGGCGTGATTTATGACGTCTCTTTAAATTCGCACGTGGTAGTTGTTTATTGTAAGTAGAGAAGTTTTATTTTCACTAAAGCGTTGAGATTTCGGTTTGCAGTTCAGTTTTTAGAAAATAATTAGATCTTGTTAGACGTGAATTCTTTCTGTTTTTACCGTTGCAATGTCGAAGCGTCGAAAATGTTTAACAGAGCATGAAATAGCAGAAATGATGCAAAATATTTCAGATATTGATTCTGAAACAGATTCTGATAGTAGTGATAGTGATATTATGATATATTCTGATCATAAAGAATCTGGCAAATCTAATGATGATGAGGACATTTCGGACATCTGTATGCCGAGTATGTCGAAAGCAAGTACTTCTCCATGGTCATCCACAATAGAAAATTTATCGGAATTTCCATTTAAAGCTGTTCCTGGAATTAAAGTGGATAATTCGGTTGAAGAAGAAATTGATTTCTTTAGGTATTATTTTGATGATACAATAATGAAATTAATTACTGAAGAGACTAATCTGTATCAGAGGAGTAAATATCCTGAGGATGAATCTGGAGCAATTTCTTCAAAGTATTTACCTGTTACAGTGGAAGAAGTGTTTGTTTTCTTTGCTCTAAGCATTTTGATGAGTATTATAAAGAAACCCACAATCAAATTGTACTTTTCAATGAATCCCATGCTTGCAATGCCATTTTTTTATTGAGAGTCAGAAGAGACTGATAAGAAAATGAGACGACGATGCTTCGTTTGTTCACATTCCCGGATAAATCCTCCAAAACGGCAAATGAGTTATTACAAATGCAAGGAATGTAACATAGGACTGTGTGTAAATCCCTGTTTTCAAATTTTTCATACGAAAAGAGAATTTTAAGTAATATATTTAGTTTTCAGATGTATAATGTTAAAAGTCATAAAATGGTGAGTAATGAAAATAAAATGTGTAAAATATGCATTTAAACAAGAAATAAGGTAATTAAAGTATATATAAAAATTTCTATAAAGCATAAGCCGTTTAAATACTCTATAGAGCATTATTAAACAATGCTTTGATACTTTGGAAATTTCGTGGATTTAGGCTTAATAGCAAAAAAGCCCCCAGTCCTGGACAGACGCATGCGTAAGATACTGCTGGCCTCCGCGATAAGCGCGCATTTGCGCTACCCGCCGCAAAGGGGTTAACATTGTTGTAGACAACTCATTTCTCATCCCCAGTGATGCAACTCAATGGATCATTTTCTTGGCATTTGAGAAGCAAATCACAAATATCAATGCAACGGCACAAATTGCTTTCCGTAAGAACTTGAGGAACCCATATGTTGAGCTTTGAAATTAAACCTAGGCATTTCAAATAACCATAAATGGTCAAATTCAATAAATTTAATCTCTCAGCGATCTCATGAGATGTTATTCCCTGGTTTCCATCAATAAAAGTCTTTATTGTGTCTTCATCAGATTTATCTGCCGTTCCAGAACGTGGTGCATCTTGAAGATCAAAATTGCCAGATCGAAATTTTGCAAAACAGTTTTAGCACTGGCATTCTGTCAATACATCTTCTCCACACACATTGGATAATTTTTTCCTTGCTTGAACAGCATTTTTACCTTTTCGATAGTAAAAAAGTAAAATGTATTGAAAATGCTGCTTTTCACTTTCCGTTTTTGTAAGGGCACCAACCAGAAACTACTGTGTAGAATCAATCGAACTTTTTCACAAAAAGGCCTTGCTATATCAGCTGTCAAAATATATAACGATGATGCAGCTTAAGTGTGAAGTTGGCTGTGAAAAAATACAATTTAAGCCCTCAACTATATATATATATATATATATATACACAGTATAGTAGGTTATTTTTTAAATAAGGCCTGCTTGTGAATGAGAGTGAGAATGATGCTCGATGACCATGCTGCATATTCATGTCTACTCCTAGCATGCTTTGCACACATTTAGATGCAATTTGCAGCTATATGATCTGTCTGTGTGTTGAGCTGTAGAAGTTTACAATGTTTAAGAAAATTGAATCTCTCGCCGACTGAGAGAATATGATCTGTAATTTATTTCTTGAGTGCAAGCAACTTGGCAACAGCAGAAATTTACCATCAGATTTGTGAAGTCTTATGTTGATAATGGAAGACAGTAGGGTTGTTAATAATGGAAAACAGTAGAGTGACAGTAAAGTTCCAAAGTGGAAAAGATGGTTAAGGATGTGAATGTTAAAGTTAATATACATGATGAGCTATGCGTTGGCCAGCTTCTCTGATTTCTGAAGATTTGGTTTGGGAGGTGGACAACAAAATTTGAGAGGACAGACAATTAACAATTTCACAGTTATCAGTTGATCTTCCACAGGTTTCAAAGTTAGTTTTGTGTATCATTCTTTCAGAAAAACTGAATTATGGAAAATAGTGCTGTTGGTGAGTTCTAAGACTGCTTTTTGATGATCACGAAAGAAAAACATAAGGCTTTGCTTTATTGTTTTGACTTGATACAGTCAGGAAGGAGATGAATTTTTGGACTACATTGTTACAGGAGATAAGACTTGGGTGTCTCACAGGATCCTGAGTTCAAGCAACAGTCTATGACATGGTGATTACATCATTGCCAAGCAAAGTGAAAGCCAGACAGACAGTTTCAGCTTGAAAGGGAACAGAGAAAGGATTTTTTGATTGGATTTTATACCATGCCAAGAGGCATAGCAATCAATTCTGATGCATATCGTTTAACCTTGAGAAAACTCCACTGTGCTATGCAAAATAAGTGGCATGCCCTACTGTCTTCCAGTGTGATGCTCACAGTAGAGCCCACATGTTTCTGCACAAATACAGGGTCTAATCAGATCTTTTCGATGGGAAACTGGATCTTCCAACTTCTTCATATCTTGCACCAAGTCATTTTCACTTGTTTCGGTACTTAAAGGGATTC